TCTTCTCCTTCCTCAACCCCCTGTCTCCAGATATTTGGATGTATGTGCTCTTAGCCTGCCTAGGAGTCAGTTGTGTCCTCTTTGTGATCGCAAGGTAAGTTCAAAGACTGCTGACTTCACAAAAACAGGATCAGTCCCAGATTCACCTATACGTTCTAGAGGTAGACAAAAATTAAGAACTTTAAAGTATATTTTTAGTTCTGCCTAGAGTTCTACTCCCTCAAAGTCTCCATGTAAAAGCCATTCTGTAAATGAATGTCTGCTTAATTATTTATAAAGACCCTTTTTAAAGAAAGTTAAGAAGATAATTTTTACATTAGTTTACTTTTATCAGTATTTTGAAAACATGAAATGGTTATTTATTCATATTCCTCGAGCTATACTACAACAAAAGCAATGAATTATTTATCAAATAATAAATCTAAAATGTTTCAGTAAGAATAGTAAAATGTTGTCAAGATATTTGACCCCTGGAATATTTGGATAAGCAGAACATAAAAAAAGTTAACTAGGAATTATCATAGCAAATATGAGAGTAACTCAAAAAGTTCATGGAAAAATAGAATTAAAAGAAAATACTAATCTGTCCATGAACATTTTTAAGACCCCTTGTAAGAAACACAGGAATAAAAAGATTGTGAAATCCTAAGGTATAAAAATATATATTTTGAAAATTCTATGAAATTTATTTTTAAAACATTAGTGAGTTGACAGAATTATAGAGATAACCCTGAAAGGAAAGATTACTTATGTGTCGAGTTTGGAGGCATGAAATCTTTATGCTATCATTAAGACAACTCAGTTTAGGTTTTATATTTTGATAATTAACTCTATATTTAACCATTCTGCTCTACATAATTCTTCAAAGGATTTTTATGCCTTTCAATACATCATATTTTCTAAATAATTTTGATGCTGAATTTGAAACAGCTGTTTTATCTTTCTGTTGGATTAACAATTTGATATCCCTAGATAAACCATGTAAAAAAAAATAGCTTTTCTACATCCTCTACTTGTTTTCAGTCTTTTTCACCTTTCAACAAAACTCAGTGAACTTTCTTCCTAATCAATTTTTGTTTTCCCTCCAGGAATTTCTAAGAGAAATATTTCTTCATGCTAGTTCTTTGTCACTGTCTACTGTCTGGTTTTGATTAATGCCAGGTAACGCTTTCCCTGGTGTGATTATAAATAAAGCTTGGAAAAATAATCCAGGCTAGAAAGGTCTCAAAGATCCACAAAGCAGACATAGTCAAACTGAATATATGTGCACTCTCACAGGTGGTATTTATACTTTCAACATGGAATGAATGTTTCAAAGTTCTTTACACCTTGTAAAGTGTACTAATACCAAATCTCAGATTTTATACTTTTAAATAGTGACCAGAGCTCTCTTTTCTATGCCTTATCTCATAAAATAAAATATTACAGTATGTATAAAGATATTATCCTTTGATACTTTAATGCTCTAAATCAGTGGTTGTCAACTGGGAGAGATTTTGTCCCCCAGGAGACATTTGGCAATGTCTAAAAACATATTTTTGGTTCACACTGGGGGTGGGAGTGCTGTTGGTATCAAGTGGATAGAGTCCAAGGGTGCTGCTAAATATCCTACAGTGTTCAGGACAGCTGTCCCACAGTAAAGAATTATCCACTTCAAAATGTCAATAGCACCAAGGTTGAGATGCCCCAAACAATTAAAGAAAAGAATGCCTTGGATATCAAATTTTAAAAAAATAATTTTTTCACTTTTGGAAGTGTATTTCTCATTACTAGCTCCTAAGTGAGGTTAATATTGCCCTCCAACAGTCGTTTAATAAATAACTACCCTAAGGCGAAGTATTCTCTAACGATGAATAAGCAATCTTGTGTTGACTGGCTGTTGCATTCCTATTCCTGGGAACCCACACCTCTTGGGTGATTAGGGCTATCAGAGCAGTCCAATCAGCAGAGGGAAAGAGTAAAGAAAATTTTTATATTCCCCTATCCATGGCAGTGATGGTGATGAGTAGACCTGGCAAGTTAATGTTGATGAGCAAGTACATTATTTATTATAGGGACTTGACCAAAGGCAGTGGGGGGAAAAAAATGTCAACAGCATTTGGAAGTTCTTGCAAGCACACAGGCTGAAAATTTACAATTGACCCCAACTGTGCCCTTAAATTACCTTATTTTTGTCAGCAGAATAGGTCAGAATAGCATAACATTCAGTAGTTTTCCCCTCCTTATTTTGTCTATTCCTCCAGAAGCTCATGGTGACCCAGACCTCTATATTTTCTGACTTCACACGTTCTATTTCTATAAAGATAACAGCACTCCCCACCCCCCATCAATGCAATCCACTCAATCAATATTCTTGCCCACTGACAACACCATGTGTAAACCAGCCCTTCCTTACTTAGCTCATTCCCCTTGACTTCCCCTTCCACTGACTTTCTCTTGCTCCAGGTCTTGGAAAAGTACAAATTTGCAAACAGCATGGTGGTGAAGTGTAGAAAATATAAAAGTGTAGAATTTAACTTCCTGCAGTGCACGGGTACACTGTCATGGAGACCGTACTCACATCTACATGCATCTTCTCTACACCTTTGAATCCATCCCAGCTTCTACTTCATTAAGCCACTAAATACATTTCAGAGGTGATTCCCAAAAACAAAATCTTGGCTGAACAGGTGTGCTGATTCACCTTTACTTCCTACCATCATAGTTTGAAACCATGAACTCAGTCACTCTGCACAAATAAGCTCAAATGTAAAATGATTTTCAGTTACCATCTTAGTTGCATTCAAAGTTAGTGAAGTAGAAATGAAAAACAGTTAATCTCACAATCATCTTTAGCTCAAGAGAGGCTTTTGAATTTATGTTGTGAAGTACATCCTTTTACATTCTTTTAAAGAATAAAGCTCATTGCTGCATTTAAGCTAATGCCCTCACTAGATAGATGCTTAAAAATCATTTGCTGAACTGAATTGAATTTCTAAAGTTGTAGACATCATTGGGAAAAACTTTAAAAAAGCATAACAATATAAAAATTTCAGTTACTGTGACTTGTAACAAGTGTGCATATAAGTGTTTTGTTTTGTGGTTGACATTTTTTTTTCTATTTTTTGAAAAATGTTTAACCCTAAGGAATTATGTCCATCATGAACACAAAATTTAAATAGGTGAAATATCCAAATACAGTATCTGCTTATATTTTACAATTTATGTTTGTCTTCTAAAAAATTAACATTTTTTAAGTTAGAAGTTGGAAAAAAATCAAGGAAACATTTGAAAGTAGATTCTAAGATTATAATACAAGTTCAAATAGAGCTTTCTGTTTTGAAAGATGAATGGATTTCCCTCTCACCAGTATAACCCAATGTCCATGTCAGCCATAAAAAATAGTCCCTTAATTAGAGAACTTCAGTATGAGGGTTGTTTTATATCTTCCTTTCAAGTATAAGTGTGGCATATATAAACATAAACCAAAAATAAACCTTCATATTTCAACATAAGACTACTCTTTTATATGCAAGTTTTGACACAGATTCAAAGCACACTCATCCTTTCTCTGTCATTTTACTAAAGATCAGTATTGATTTTTTTGAGAGTCATTTGGGAATAGCAGTTTCAGATTATCATTGGTGCAGGTCATACAATAATATTTCCCCAGACTTCCTGACACTGACTGTCTTTAAACAGGCATTAGGAATTCCAAGCTGAAATATATACATGTGGGCAACAGTTAGGCCTATTGCATTATAAAAAGCCAGTGTCTATTTTTTTGTTTTGGCGTGCACAGGCTTCAACCAAGCCCCCCTCCTTCCTACTCCTCCCACCATATTTCCTTCCCCTTCCCCTCTTTCAGTTCCCCCCAACTGCTCCACAACATCTTAGAATGTAAAAAAATAATATTAATAAATTAATTATTTTTTTTAAAAAGCCAGCGTCTTACAGCACCACATCATGTCATTATTTAATATGCCTCAGTCCACACGCTCCCCAAGCCACTAAGAATCCCAGAGAGAAAGAACCTAAAATATCTCTGCAGAGCAGGCAGAATCACATTGCTGTTCAGATGGTTTTACATTTTGCCACGGAAAATTAAATTAATTGCTTACTTATAGTGCAAAGTATGAACTGCCGAAACAAGACCTAGTTAAATGCAGCATTCCAAAGAAGGAAGTGGTGAGCTTATCAATCAGAGCATATTTGGAAGAGAAATGCCAGAATATGAGGGGGCTTGGAGGTTGCCAGGTTTTATGGTCTATTTGAAAAACCCCTTCTCTTGAATGCATAAGCCTCCCAATTTATTGCAATTACTATTTTTAAACTATTGTACAAGTAACACTGATATTGTTAAAGTAACAGCATCTTTACTCTGCATACTGTTTCAATTAGTAGGTTCATTAATATTGCTATTCATTTCTTCAGCTCAGCAAACTACTATGATTATAAGAGTGTATAAATTCAAGCCTTAATTATATTGTTGAAACAGTAATTAAAATATATTGGCATGGCATTGTCAATTAAATCTATATTCATAAGCTTCACAGGAACCTGTATGGTGCACCCAGCAGCTGTGGAAAAGCCACAATAATGAGTTGGATATGACTATGGTGGGATAAATTATGGGGCTGTTTTCTCAGTTCCCCTAAGACTTGATGAGTAGACACTGTACACTTTCCAGAATGTGTCGGGGGGTTAGAGAATGGTTTTTCTTTAAGAGGAACTGTCCTGCTCAGTTCCTTGTGCATGATTCACACTGTGCTGGGCTTTAATGTATTCACCTTATGCCCAGTTTTCCCTGATATGTCGGCAATGTGCTATTGTTTACTGCTGAAACCTTATGGCTAGAGAGAATTCCATATGTTCTCATCAGCTTTATGGTTTTTTCATATTATACTGACACTCCTGCTAATATTAAAAGGACCCAATGACAAATGGCAAAGCTTCCAGTGCTAAGAATGATTACCTTTTAAATCATTTCCAGATCACTTTTCTGAGCATCTGCTAATGTCTCTTTGGAAAAATAAGCATCCCTTGGCACAGTAGCCCTAAAAAATACCCACAGAGCGGAGACCTCCTCTGGGCCACATAGGTCAGACAGATGCCTAGAAAATAGAGAAAGAGAACTAAAACATATTCAGTTCCATGGGTTTTTATTTTAAGCACACCTCCAGGTAATATCTGGATTCCCTCCTCTTAACAAATAAGGAAATTGAGGCCAGAGAGGTTGAGTGAATTGTTTAAGGTCAACTTCCTACATTACTAGTTGTTTTTCCAGAAAACTTGACCACCTATAGCTCACCACCTTGCAAGTAGAGCTATGATCATGCTCTAGAAAACACACTTCTCACTTAATTAGGGCTAGTGACTAAGTGACCAAAGGCCATAGTTCTAAAAACAAATCAAGAAGACATTATGCACTTAAATTTCTCCAGTGAGGCAGCTATGGAGTTAATACTAACGTACTAACTCCCGAGCCATAATATTTCCAAACTTAAGCTTTGTCTCTTCATTTAAGGATTTTGATTTTTTTCCATATGCTAGCCTTAAAATATTTAAATATACCCCAAATCTGGCTCTTCCTTTTGTTCACTAATTTTTTTCAGCCTTGCAGCCCCTTTGATGCCTTATGAAGTCACTAGGCCACTTAGGCTCCTTCTAAGCATCTGTCCACAGTGTCTTGATGTGTAGTCGTTATGCAACAAGTGTGTGTGGTCATCACTACTGGGTGGGCTAAATACTTGGGATGCGTGAACTTTTCTTTGTAGNTTTGATTTTTTTCCATATGCTAGCCTTAAAATATTTAAATATACCCCAAATCTGGCTCTTCTTTTTGTTCACTAATTTTTTTCAGCCTTGCAGCCCCTTTGATGCCTTATGAAGTCACTAGGCCACTTAGGCTCCTTCTAAGCATCTGTCCATAGAAACCCCTTGAAAGCAAATCACCCCTCTTTTTTGGGTCTCCCACAGGACCTAGCAACACAGTGTCTTGATGTGTAGTCGTTATGCAACAAATGTGTGTGGTCATCACTACTGGGTGGGCTAAATACTTGGGATGCGTGAACTTTTCTTTGTAGTCCATCTAGTTGTTTATAAAAATGGAAATGAATGAAAATTCAGAAGAATTCAGTAGACATAGATCTGAGGAGTACAATTGCAGTTGACCAAAGGGCTACACCTAGTAAGAAGTCTGGTAAATACTGACACCTTAAGGTTCTTTTGCACTTTGCCCACCAAAGCCATAAGTTTATGAATATGGCCTTGACTCTTCTGCTTTGATATTTCTTTCATTAATTGCTGGCTTTTCTGTATTGCTCAGCTGGTTTTGCTGGTGCCTCATGTATTTATCTGATATTTACAGACTGTTTCTGTTAACTACCACAGGTTTACACCCTACGAGTGGTATAATCCCCACCCATGCAACCCTGACTCAGATGTGGTGGAAAACAATTTTACTTTACTAAATAGTTTCTGGTTTGGAGTTGGAGCTCTCATGCAGCAAGGTACATCGGTTGCTCATCTTTGTCACATGCATCCCACAGTCTGCTGACAGGCTTTTGTGCTGGTAAACTCCACCATGAAGCTAGAGAGTAGGCTGAAACACCATCTCAGGAATTAAAAAAAAAATAGCAACTGACTTTTTAGCCAGTTCTGAAGACAAAGACAAAGCAACAAACATGACCTAAATGGAACTCCTTTGCTATATGTCTAAAATAACACTTCTATTATGCAGTGAATACAAATTTTCCTGTGGGTGGCTTTTACCTTAGAAATTGTTTACAAATTTGAAAAGATGAAGGTGTCAGTCTTCTCTTTTTCAGCCATAACTCCAAAAGTCAGAGGTTTGAAAGAAGTGGAATTTAAATCCTTTGAAGATTAAGTTCACTTAGACTCTTCCAATCATGGACAGTACCTGGAACTTGCACCTAATTCCCACTCTGACAAACCCTACTGAGATTCATCTTAGCTGCCCAGTAACTATTTGCAATCTCCCTCAATCGGTAACCATAGCAACAGTAAACTGTAGGGGTTGGGGAAATAAAATTTAAACCATAGAAATGTAAGACATTTTATATATTTCCTATGATATGGGAGATTTTGCTTCTATTGCGGGGGGGGGAGCGGGAAATTGTTTTAACCTTTGGAAGAAATCCATCTTTTGTGGATTTTCTTCAGCTTTGATTCCAGACGTATGGTCTAAAACACTTCCACGATGAAATGCATTAATTTAAGAAGATCATAAGTCACAGACGCTTTGTGTTTGGAATATCTGCTCATTTGACAATAAGCTGCAAAATAAATTGGCAAAAGAAAATTCAAGTGGGATATACATTAAACATGTTTGTTATTTGGGGCTGAACGTAAGGTTTCTCATTGGAGAGTTGTTATCATACCAGTTAAAATGTTTATAGTGTGTGTGTCCAAATTAGAGGGAGAGAAATGGACAAGTGTCTCTAGTATGGGAATATCAAACAGTTGCGGAAAGTGGGCAAATCTTCTCATTATGCAATTAAGCATAGTTTACGTTTATGTGGGCACTGCTAAATAGGTGTAGACACTACCTGATTTACTAGAAATCACTTGCATGAATTTAGAGCATAGCGCAGACCTATAAATCCTGCAAGAAACTCCATTAGAAGCCATATACTGCTTTACCAATGCATTTATTTTTAGGGTATTTACCTTGTAAGCAATTGCTTTCAGAGTGAAGGACAGACTTCCCCAGCTCCTTCCCTACAGCTTACCTTCTCCAGACATTAGAATAGAGAAATATACACTTAGGTTTCACAGAGCTTGCTGCAGGTATATGACCATGACTGCCTCTGTCATGGGAGTGCTCCCACTCCCAGAACTTCTCTTTCATATTCTACCTGTTTGGAGTTTACCATCACCCACAGCAAACTGTGGGATGCAGTGTCTGTTAGTTACCACTACCTTGGGTACATGACAGTCAGCCCCAACCAGACTCTGCTTGTTTTTCAAGAAGTTTACAAACATTTATCAGGTGCAACAAGTGTTTCCATGTACAAATTGGTGGTACTTGTGACTGTTAGTGCATCTGTCCTTAGCATGTGGCATTGAACCAGGTAGCTATTCTCTGTTACACTCTCTCTTGTTAGCAGAAGCTTGTCACTGTACTCTACTGGAAACCATTTTGTTTAATTTTTTTTTTAATGTGATGATCAGACTTTCTCTTTTCTACAGAATGTGAGCAAAGTCTGGATCAGGATTGGCTGTCATGTCTGCCATAAAAGTCACTAAAGAGCCTTCAGCAAGTATTGTCTCTCATCCTGAATATTCTCTAGTGATGTTTTACTCTACTTCTACTGCGTTCATAACTTCATTCTCTAGAGTTCTGAATTGACACAAATCATCTCTACTTGAGGGAAGCCATCTCTAAGTATATCAATTAACGTTGACAGTCATGAAACTTAAAAATTATGTGAAAATAGAAAACACAGAAATGTTGAGAAATAGAATTGATACCACCTTACAGGGGTTTAAAAAGGATTCTCAGTAGGCTTCTATTAGTATTTTTCTTAACTTTCAAAAGAACTTCATCCTAAAATATAAATATGTACTTTAATGTGTGAAAATGTAAATTTATATTATTACATGTCAACAGTTCAATGTTAATCTGTCTGTTCAATTTTACTGCCATGTACAGTTATGTGCCACATAATGACATTTCAGTCAATGGACTGCACATGCAGTGGTGGTCACAGCAATAGGCTATACCATATAGCCTAGGTGTGTAGTAGGCTGTATATACCACCTAGGTTCGGCAAGTACACTCCATGATTTTCACACAATCACAGAACTGCCTAATGACACATTTCTCAGAACATATCTCTGCTGTTAAGTGAGTCATGACTGTAATACATAATTAGACAAATATACAAATAAGTTAAAGCCTTATCTTTTCATAAATGCAGCCAAGAAACAAATTTAAAGTAGAAAAACTGCACCTATATGCTATGAAAAAATATACGTATTAACTCTGTTATCATTTCCCATGGCTATTTTATGAAATAAATGATATTTTAATGGTAGCCCACTAAAGTTCTAAAATAATATCGCATTGCCACAAGGTGGCTAGATCAATTAAGTACAAGGATATGAAACAACCTTGGGCATTAAACACACACACACACAAACACACACACACAGGCAAATAAATTTCATTAAACTACAATATTAAAACAACAGCACAAACTATTTCACTAAATCCTTGGAGGCAATTTAATGGAATCTATTATAAATCTATGTAATATTAACACCCAAATTCAAACAAACAGCACAAGGAAATACAAACCAAGTCAAAACATTTATCTCATTAAATGGGAATAAAGCACAAAGAAACCTAACAGCATTAAGAGAATATATCTGTTAATTCAAAGCCCAGAAACTCTGCCAACCTTGATCTGCTTATCACTAGCCTTGAGCTGGCTTTGATTTCACGAACAATGTGTGTGTCTGTTTATAGATTAACAGAGCCTGAGCATAAACTCATTTCTTTTGTAGATTGCTGAACTCTAATTTTCCTTTCCATCTTAAGCCATTTTAACTACAAAACTTCAAAATACCCAATCAGTTTAGTGAAAGGATCCTTTAAGCCAGATATTTGACCTGCCGTACTTCCATCTTTGTGACTTTAAATTTAGGGTGTTTTTCTTCCACTTTTTAACTGGACACATAGACTCTATCATGCCTCCAAATTCATGGAGGAAATGCTGAGTACAGAACCAATGGTGAATTTCAGGCAAATGGACTAGCCAAAGTCCATTCACGAATCAGCACAATTGGAGTGATCTCTAATTGTATTTCTGGTTCCTTCTAATCATGCTGCTGGATTTATAGACTTCCACAGCTCAGTTTGACCAAAATTGAGCTAGACTGTTTTCAAGATGTTTGTTTTTTACATAAGTAAACTTAGCCCATGGGCCCTTTGTTATAGAGAGGAAGATTTTTTTGGTAAACACATTAAGTGCCTCTATGCTATCTTGCAAATATAATCATGAATCATCTGAATGACATCTAAAATGTATATTCTTACCAGGAAGGCTCTCTCTCGACCTGAGAAACAGCCAATCTTTGGAGTGTAATTAAGAAACAGTACTTTATTTAAGGAGAAGATTATGCTTTTCAGGGAATATATTCTTTTAGCCAAATTAGAAAGAAGAACTGTGACTTTAAAAGTAACATAAAACAATAAAAAATGTCAAGTATGGCTGCATGTTATTTCATTTAATTGATAAAATCCCAGTGTTTTATTGAAGTATATGTGATAAATGGCATGATATGTTAATCTTATGAAAGTTTCTTATATTCTTTAACTTTAACTAAAAATAAGCTAGCATTTCAAAGCTTTCATAGCTATACAAAGAGCTGAAACATATTACTTCACATTATAAGCTGTATTTGAGAAAATAATAAGAGGCCAGAAGTCTTGGGACTGACTTTTCAATTCTAAGAGACTAAACTAAATTTTAAACATAGGATATCTCAGGGTTAAAACCATTTTAATACCATCAACTGTTGATAAATTACATCTTAAGCAGCAGTAGTTATTAATAATTTTAAAAAGGATTATTTAGACATTGCTTCATTTTCTAGGAAATGCATTTATTTCATCTACATACAGTGCAGTAAATTCTTGATGGGCTTATCTCCCTAGAATAGTGTCAAACTGTAAGTCTTCCCTTTTCTTCTGACTCTCTTTAACACCCTTACTCTGATGATACCATCACAGGATCAGAGCTGATGCCCAAAGCTCTATCGACCAGAATAGTTGGAGGGATATGGTGGTTTTTCACCCTAATCATCATTTCATCCTACACTGCCAATCTGGCTGCCTTCTTGACAGTAGAGAGAATGGAATCCCCCATAGATTCAGCAGATGATCTGGCAAAGCAAACCAAGATAGAATATGGGGCAGTCAGAGATGGATCAACAATGACCTTCTTCAAGGTAAGAACCTGACAAAGTATTCTCAGTGGTGATCTCATGCTGGGGGGAGGAGGGCTGAAGGATAAAAGAGTCTGTCCAAAAAAAAAAAAAAAGAAAGAAAGAAAAAGAGCTGGGCAAATATTTTAATGAAATAAAATTTATAGTGATATAGTCCCATGGTGGGGAACCCCTGTGCCCTCAGCTGTCAGTATAGAGCAGGTTCTTTGGTCTCCTCCTAGGTGTCATTCCCTCTATCAGCAACTTACTACACTCAGATATGGAGATCAATATCGTCAATATCCTCTCTTGCCTTTACACCAGAAAAAAAAAAAAATGCTGCTTTCTGAACACAATCTAACCACCATTAATTAATCACTCATTTATGGAACCCACAAAATAAAGATTCCTTAATCTGAAACTCTGACAGCCAAAATACTTGAATTTCATTATTTTATTCTTCCTGTTCTGTACATGATGAAACAGAAGCAGATTATAATAACATGTGTCTAAATTGGAATTTAGTTGGAGAATTAGGGGGAAAAAAAATCCCAGGAAATTATCGCCTAATGTTGCATCTGAACCAGTGAAGAACGTATTCCCAGCCTTGCCTGAAGCTTTTCAGTAGCTTCTGAGACACTAAAGGAGAAGCAAGTTTGAGTGGGTTTAATTTTAGTGTCAAGTGCATTTCATTGTTCAGGTCCATTGTTCTTTCAAATTTTTACCCAGAGTAATGAAACTGATTTCTGCCTTGTTTATGGAGTAAGCCTTGGTCCTTTTATTATCAAATCTCAGGTATTATAGTTCCCATGAAAAAGAAGTGGATTTTTATGAATCTAATAGTTTTAGAAATCATGAAGTTCAGCCCTTCACTTTGCTTATGAAGAGACAAGAACCTCAGAAGCTAAATTACTTGCTCAAAGGCACATACCTGGTTGATGACAGAGAAGGGGCAAGAATCATCTTTTAGGAAATGTTGATGGAGGTAAATGTGCATGTAAATAAAAGGAAAACAATAGTTGTAAACAAAATAAGTCCTAAAAACACCCTTGTCAAGGTTTCATATTCAGATTATCAAAAATGAAGTTGTCACCCCAGGACTGAGTGAACTGTTTTAACTTGTGAAGAATGCTAATTTAGAAACAAAAACTAAGGGTAAGAAAAAGTGGACACTCTTTTTGTATAAATGTATTGGTTCACAAAAAATAGGCATTACCTATGCAGTAAATTTTAATAATTAATAATAATAGTAATTAACAAAAAGACTTCCTTGTGTTACGAGTAAACTATACCCAGTGTTTTATCAAAAAACAGAACAATGTAAAAAGTAGGATTTACGGGCCGGCCCGGTGGCACACTGCTACAGTGCACCGCTTGGGAGTGCGGTGGCGCTCCCACTGAGTGTTCGGATCCCACATACAGACCGGTTCCCGCTCACTGGCTGAGCGAGGTGCAGGCGCAACACCGAGGGTTGCCATCCCGTTGCCGGTCCCGGTCCGGTACGGGCGCAACACTGAGGGTTACGATCCATTGCCGGACACGAAAAAAGACAAAAAGGAAAAAAAAGAAAAAAAAAAAAAGTAGGATTTACTTTTTCTCTATGTTAAAAAAAAAGAAAAAAAGATTTTTAAGCATTCTTTTCATTGTAAAAACTATATCATTGATTTAAATCATGGTGATAGTTTCTTCCTGGTCAGAGATGTTTTAAGGACAAGTAACATTAAATATATGGCTTTCCAAGCTTCTGAAAGAATTTTTTCTAAAATCAATAATGTAAAGAGACACAAGTTACCCCAAGCTAGTGATTCATCATGGTTTTTGTTAGAAACCAGAAAAGTCACTTGGAAGGGATACAGGACAGACAGGCACTGCCAAAGTAGAATTTGACATACCTGGAAAAAAATCTGAAATGATTTACCTCACTCAACAATATCAAAGAGTTTCAAAATCCTAAGTCATGGGCTACTAGAGGCAGAGAAGATTCTACTGCCTTCTAGATGCACAATACAAATGTAGAACAGGAAAAGGCTGGGTTTCCTTTTGAAAAAGCAATACTTGCCACTATGCAAAGGATCTGTGTATTTGCAAAGTGCCCCTTAAACTCATTTGGGATTGTTTTTGCTCATGTGCCTTTTTGAATATACAGAGGGCCGGTTCCTGTTTTGCCAGCAGGTCCCTGGGGTGATTGCATTAAGACATGCTCGGATAATGCACTTCCACAAACAGACGTGCTATTCTCACAACTGCTGGTCCCAGGCATTTTCAGAGAGGTCTCCTGTTTGTCCATGGTCCTGAAAATGAGACACAATGAAAGTGGTCTCTTAGGTAACCAGGCAAACGAGGCAATAAGCACCCCAGGGAGAAAGAACGCATTGGTAGTACAGATCGTATCCATGAAAATAGCAGTGAGCTGTGCACCAACCCTGAGCCACACTCTCTCTTTCTAAATGCTTCTCCTGTATTACCTCATTTTTTCCCTATAAAGGCCAATTTGATAAAGTACTGATATCCCTGTTACATGATGAGGAAGATGAGCACAGAGAGGCTAAGTAACTTGCCCCAAAGTTGCAAAGCTAGCAACGAAGATCCAGGGTTCAGTCAAACTTTAGAGCATTTTAGAAAGTAAGATCCTTGAGGTAAGAGACTTGATATATTTTAGTTGGTTTGTTTTGCCATTACATCATCAGAACCTATAACAGTGCCTGGCACATAGTAGGCCATCAGAAAATGTTTTCAAGATATGAACGAATGCATGAATGAATTCTGGGAGAAATGAAATTCTATCAGAGAGAGAGAGTGAGAGAGAGTGAAGGAGGGAGATAAGGAGAGAGCAGGAGAGAAAGGTGGGTAGATACATAGAGACCCACTCAGGAAGAAACACTGCTGCCAAATTCCTCATTCTACAAGTTAGCTTGTGGCCCAGCAACCCTATTTACCAAGAAGGAATTTATTTGCAACTAAAGAACAAGGACTAAATCTGATTTTGTTTTCCCACTGAGGGAGGCAAGCTGTCACAAAGCTTCAGAGGGATACACACTCAGGGTTCTTAAACCAGATTATTCCAGTTGGGTGAAAAACATTCCAGCCTTTTAGTTCTCAGGGTAGTTCCACCTTAAGTCATTGAATGACATCTGTTATGGCCACAGGGACTCAGTCCTGACCTGTCTTCACATTAATGTTTCACCCCTATCAGGGTCCACCTCCCTCCCTTTTTCTCTGTCTTAATTAAAGACAATAACCTCTAGGGCTGTAGAAGGAATAAGGAAAGCTGCCTTTGCCTAGTCTAACCTTGCGCATTCTGATCAGTTGTTGAAGTATAAGCCACTTGCTCAGATGGGTCCCATCTCCACTCAGTCACAAGGAAATTTCTAATAAGAAACATTTTCTCATCACACACAGTGTAACTTAAAGTGTTTCTGTATAAGCCACTTGCTCAGATGGGTCCCATCTCCACTCAGTCACAAGGAAATTTCTAATAAGAAACATTTTCTCATCACACACAGTGTAACTTAAAGTGTTTCTGTCCCCATTCCCCTGCCCAAACCATCACCACCAAAAAAAAAAAAAAAAAAAAAAAAAAATCCTACAACAACAAAAAACCCTCTGGCAGCACTCAAATGGTAGAAACCTGTCCCTTTACTTTCAAGTTGATTTTAAATCATTTTACAGCTAGAGAATAGGCAGTTGCGAGAAAGAAAAGGCTACAGACATTACCAAAATTGATGACCAAACAAAATACACTAATCCCTCACATTTGTTCTCTGGGCCATAATGAACAGATGTTCTTAGTGAAGGTTCTCCTTGAAAAGTGTGGCCAGAAGTCGCTCGCTAACATTTTAATAAAAATCCATTGACTTTTTCTCCTAGACTTAGCTATTCTTGCAGATAGCATGACACCTTAGATTTGGGATTTCAGATTTGGGATATTCAGTTCTTGACATGAAAAAAAAAATGTTTTTTTAAATAACTCAGGTGAGGCTCCACTATCCACTATCTGAATTCAGTAAAGCTGAAGGAATAAACTGACCTTTTTAAAGCAAGCACTGGGTCAAGATAATACATGCCGGAGACTGGGAAGACCTCAACAGTTTTCCTTCATTGAGTCATTTGTGTGGGGAACAGCCACACTGATCATCAAGGGCTGTATTTACACAAAAGAACTAGGATTAGATTATAAATTCAATTCTACACACATTTACAAAGCTTCAGAAGGACATCCAAGATTCTAGCTGACATTGTCCATGAAGAAAAGAATAACTGTGAGTTTTGTGGCTAAGGTCACTCAGGTATGATGCTTATTAAACATTACATTTTCACAAGGTCATCCGAACTCTGAGTCTTAAAGTCTTAAAGGGTGTCAGTCAGCACGAGGCCAGTGAGCCAGACAGGGGTAAAGAAAGGCGGAGCATTTTTTCAACTGACCAGGTACTGTTGGAGATGTTTCAGGAAATTTCTCTCCAAATATCAAAGGATCTTTACTTTTTGCTTGTCAGAGCTTCCATTAGTTAATGGACTCAGTTTATAAGTCCGTGTATCAATAAGTCAGAGCTTCAACAGACTTTGAAAGACTTTTTTTTTTTTTTTGTCCTTTTTTGAGACCGGTCACACCGTGCTCAGCCAGTGAGCTCTGTGAGCGCACCGGCCATCCCTATACAGGATCCGAACCCGCGGCGGGAGCACTGCTGCGCTCCCAGCGCCACACTCTCCCGAGTGCGCCACGGGCTCGGCCCTTGAAAGACTTTTTTTTTTTTTTTTTTTTTTTTGTCCTTTTTTGAGACCGGTCACACCGTGCTCAGCCAGTGAGCTCTGTGAGCGCACCGGCCATCCCTATACAGGATCCGAACCCGCGGCGGGAGCACTGCTGCGCTCCCAGCGCCACACTCTCCCGAGTGCGCCACGGGCTCGGCCCTTGAAAGACTTTTTTAACAAACTACCTCTTATTTCTACTCAGGATAATACTAATTAATAATCCAATGTTAACTCTATTGGTTTCTCTATTTTCCACTGGTAAATTGCTTGGTCCT